GTGTGACGTTCATCCGCTCGAAAAGGAAGGTGACATTGGATAGGAGTTTTTGGCATTTGGACCGTCGTGTAAGATTTTTAATTTTTTTCTTTTTATGTGCTTCATTTAATATATTGTTAATCAATATAATACCGATTGGTCATGCATTCCATTTGTAGGAGACGGAAGAGGAGAGGGCATTTAGGGTGAATGGATTTCGGTTCTACGAACAATGCAAATATGTGTTCGAAGACAAAGAAGCTCCCATAGCCAACTTTCGAGGTTTTACCGGATACCATCGTGATAACCCAATCATCATTCACGAAGGGGATGATGGCCAGATTGTTGATCCTGAACAGGTTCCTCCGGAAAATCGTGCACTCATTCCATTTGCAGGTGACGTGGCTCAGTTTGAAGTACCCGAATATCGCTCCCCGTAACTATAACGTTTTATATTTAAGGCTATGTATAATCTGCTACTATGATGTTTATGCAGTATTTTGTTATTTTGAACACTTTTTTTATTTTGTTGTTTTTTTTATCTGCTACTATGATGCAAATATGTTTTTTTTTATTTTCTTGTTTTAAGTATGTGTTAAAACCGCGGAACTAAGATTCCGAATTGTGGACTAGTACTTCACCTTGTTGGAAGTACTATGTTGCGTATGTTCAGTCGGATGGTTATATTTATTATTCATATGGTTGTTATTTCATATTCTTCTCCTTTTCATAAGTCATTTAAAACACAATCCAATACATATTACGACGTAGTACAAAGATTTGAGGGTGATTGTCAATACAAAAAAGACAACCTAATTACATACAAAATTATATAAAGCAGTGGTTAACATAGCATACGTAATGCATTAAGACCAACAAAAAAAAAAACTCGATTCAATTTTATGCACTACACATATGATTTCATCTACGTACAGCAAAAAAAGTTACAACACAACCAGGAAATAAAAGAGTAAAGCAGCCACTGATACCGAAGCCGCCCAGAAAACTAAACGGGCCGACGTAATAGTTACCCGGTTCTCCCCATTCCCATCACTGTGCTGCTGCAATTGGGATTCCAAATCCGATATTTTGTTAACCAACACGGAGACTTCCAATGGAACCTGCGCCTCCAAATAGTTTATTCTCCTGAGCAAGCCTGGTATAATTTGCTTCGATCTATCACACATTTCAGGATCACACCAATTAAAAAAACGACAACCATTAACCTGAAATTGTATTTTCAATTCGTTAGCATCAAACATATTGTATGAATATGAAGTACAAATTAAAATAATTCAGTACATTACGAACTAATGTTTAAATTATTCATTACATTACGACACCAGATTAGCGGCGTTGTAATTTTCAGTTGTGATAATTAAGAACAAGGCATTTAATACGACACCAGATAATTCATTGCATAAACCAAAATCTTAATATAGTGTTTCAATATTGAAGAACCACTTAATAACATTAACAAACAATTGCGATAGTCGTTCTCTGGTTTTAACTTGTAACCCAACAGATGCCCAACATCAAAACCGCACTCATTAAGGTTGAGTAATACAAAAACCTAATTACTTAAAATAAAACCATAAATTTGAGTTAATGGAGAAACAAATTACCCCCCTTTCAGGGCAAGATACGAACCGTCGTCCTAGGTTTGTATCTGTCCATGAAGTTTGTACGGCGACCATGTACCCGCAATCGCAATATTTTGGAAGGTCCCGATTTATCTTGACTCCGTTGAAATTGTTGCTGCCTTTTCTCCGGTGAGAGCTACTACTACCAGAACTCATGATGATGTAACGAATTCAACGATTTAACTCGATTGAATGGCAGATTTATTTTTCACCGATTACCAATGTAGGGTTCGAAATTGGGGCAGGAATTGCAGATGGTTGGGGCTTTGTGAGATGAAGCAGAAAATCGATATATTATACAATATGTCAAGGGCTTTTACGGAAATTACCAATTAGGTCCACACTAATCAGCTACACAAAACGACGTATTATTGGTCTGGGGATTATCAGTACCGAGATAATACCACGAACCAAATGTCATAGTAAGTATAACTTGTCAACACTTCTATCTCAATATTAACCATCCCATCCCTCTCTATATTTCGAAGCCCTCCAACTAAAGAGCCCAA